CAAGAAAAATATATTGTATGTTAAAATTGATTGAACACAGGCTACTGCAGGCCAAAGCCATCGCTCTGTCATCAATTGTGCAGACATGTCACCCCAGCCTTTCTTCCTCTGTCCACAACAATACTGTATACACAGAAAAGCCTGATTGTTCTTTCAAATGAATGTTAACTTGTAACACAGTAACGATTACATGATTCAAAACAAATACATTTTAGCAAAACTGTAAATGTGTTTTGGATGTCTGGGGTCGCCAGAGTTTTGTGAAGTCAAAGTGGGGTCACAAGGCCAAAAAAAAAAGCACTGGCTTTAACCTCGTTCCCCTCTGGGAGACTCCCAAAAAAGTACTGTGTCATAACCGGTGCGGCTTATTTTATCACCCCCAATTAACACATACTCCTTGTGTGCCACGGTCTGTACGCTGCAGGCACAGAGCAAGCTGGACAGAATAGAACGACCAAGAAAGGAAGTCAGAAAAGGAAACGCACAGATCATCCTGTCTATTTCAAAATAAAACACAATATACGGACTCTCAATCGTATTTTTCATCACTTTATCAACATTACGTCAAAACAGGCACCAAGTAAACAACATGTCATCCTCAGATAGACAAAACAACATGTTGTTTGCACGTTTTTCTCTTTATTCTCTTGTGATCTTGTAGTTCTCATGTGATGTGTGTACAGCTGATCATGGCTTCACTCATGCTCCAGTGGGAAGCGTGTGCGCCGTCTACAGGAGCAAACGAGCAAAACTGTGGTGCTGACAGAACGCGTCACACACGACTATGTTGAAATTGGGGGGTTGTATTTTGGATATAACATATTTAGAAGAACTGGGTGAATGATATCTTGACTGCAATCAAATTGCTAGAGAATCTTAAGATGACAGAAGACAACTTACCTGACAGCCTACCTGCAGAGGAATAAAATGATATGTAGATATAACTGCGGAAAACTGAGTATTGACACTGTTTTTGAAACATTTCTGCTCCCCCTACTTCAGCATAATGAACTTTGTTTCACACCAGTCGCTCACTTGAGTTGTTTTTTTACGAGTTTTATTTTTTTCTAATTAGCGTTACACCCCTGGCCATGCCACGACCACGGGGATGAAATGTCAGTTGATTGGTGGTATTCAACACTGTTTTAACTTCTGCCTCTGGCTCCTGTTGTTCTCAAGCTGTGACTTTCCCACGGGCAACAGTTTGCTATTTATAAATGTTTGTGTTTCCTTTTCACAGCTCAGGAGCAGAACATGCATAAATCAAACGGTACATTATGCATGGTTGATGTAAACTGGAAAAATGGTGAACCACGAGGACCTTTAATGTGTGTTTAATGGCTGCTGCTTGGTATGTTTGAAAGGCGGGCGGCTTTTATGACATTTAAATGGAAATGTACGCGCCGAGAAGAATATTCATTGAAGCAAATTGATCTAGTCTACATCTCATCTGCCGGATTTATTACCTGTTAGCATTAACGGTTACTGACACTGAGTATTCTCCAGGAAGAGGTCATTTTAGAGTTGAATATAAAGTGGTGAAAATGTAATATATATTTAGAAAATCAAGACTGTAAAAATGTTATTGGTAGAGAATCGTACGCACCAATGATGTTTATGAGCTGGGCATACTGGTTACACTTTGCTGGAGCCAAAGGATCAGGCCTTCAAAGTCTGTAACGAGAGCTCTAATAAACATTTTCACTCCTTTTTTTAAAGTTATTTTTTAGGTATTTTTGCCTTTATTGGATAGGACAGCTGAATAGAGACAGGGCATGTTGGGAGGAGAGCGAGGGGGATGACCTACAGCTAAGGATTTGAACCCACGGTCGCTGTGACGAGGTCTACAGCCTCTGTGCATGGGGCGTTGACATGGCATAACCGCTAGGCTATTGGCTAAAATATTGTAGAAAAATGAACCAGGGGTCAGGTTGTGTACATACATTGTGTACATGTTTTCGTCTTTGGTTTGGTTTCCCAGCTCAGCAGCCGGAAAGTTTTACAGAATAGTGGAATTGTTCTTTATGACCTTTATTAGGTTAAACAACCCATAACCCTAGCTAGGTCAAATGACTAAATTGAATGTGAGGGCAGCCTCATAGGATGACTGATCACACACTATTCACAGCATGACTCTGTTTTCCCTTGATTCTAAACAGGAGTCAAGCTTAACGGCCCACTTCCAGCAGATGCGTGTTCAGTCTGTCTCTGCTCCATTATGGCAAAAAAGTGAATCTGGAGAAAATGACCAACGCTGCCTTTAAGTTACAGTACATTAAAGAAACATTATGGCTGCTTGTTACAGCTACTCATGAACAAAGAGCGTTAGGAATCAGGAATGTGGGGTAAAATGATCAGAAGACTACACCTCCCTACAAGACTTAAACAAAGATACATCCTCATCAGCTTTGGACTCGGGACACCTGAATGACTGTGTTCTGTGATTTATTGGAGTCATTCTGGTGTGGAACCTTGTTGTGAACCTAAACGGCATTGAGACAAAGAATGATGGAGTGGACAAATGAGCGAGTTCAACCGAGAGTCACTTGCAGAAGCTGACAAATGAGGACATCAGCCGTGTGAGTGGAAGACGAGTCACGTCGCTGCAGAACAATCAACCGAATGAAAAATGGCGTTCTTCATGTGAGACTTTGTCTCTTTAATACGCTGCACAGTCGGTGCATAGTTGTCACAATGTATCGATTTTCTCTTATTGATGTCCGGGAGAGTAATGCTCGACAGTCTTTGTCTTATTGGGAGCATGCATATTCATCCACCTTCAATCATCTCTGTCCTTCAGCTCCCTTTATTTATTTCTTCTTCACCCTTGTTCATCAGCAAGGCACTTTAGAAAGGTTCTTGTAAAACAATTGGTAGCTAACTAAAGAAGTGGCGGCTGTGGCTTAGTGGTAGAGTTGTTTGTTCTCTCCACCGTTTGATCCCAGCTCCTGCAGTCATGTCCAATGTGTCTTTGGGCAAGACACTTAACACCAAATCCAGACATACTGCGTGCACGCTGCGGTCCGTCAGTCACCGCCCCACTGGATCTGTTTCTGGAACAGTCATGAGTGGCTGTACACACATCACATGAGAACTTCAAGATCACGTGGGAATAAAGAGTAAAACGGTCAAATAACATGTTGCTTTGTCCTTCTGATGATCATTTGTCGGTCGTTTGGTGCCTGTTTTGACGTTATGTTGATAAAGTGATGAAAAATACAATCAGGAGTCTGTATATTGTGTTTTATTTTGAAATTGACTGGACGCTCTGTGCGTTTCCTTGTCTGACTTCCTGTCCAGCTTGACACGTGCCTGCAGCGTCGATAATAGACTTGTGGCGTATTTCAAATGGAGCAGAGACGTAGTGGCGCTGCTGGCATGCTCCGGAGATGGAGCGCGGCGTGGAGTGGCAGCGAAAGGAGACATAGAATGCGGCGCGCACGCAATATGTGGAAATTGAACCCCAAGGTGATCCTGCTGCTTTGTCAGCATCATCTTCAGTCAGAATCAGAAATACAGTATAGTATAGATAAGTTTACAATAAACTAAAAATAGAAATCACAATATAATAAGCATAAGTACCAAGTGAAAGCAATAATAAAAGTAATAGTAATAATAATCTATGTTCAAGCGCAGGTAATTGAGAATATAAACAGTATTTACAAATATAAATATACGTACACTGATGCATTAACAGTGTAGATATTGAATGGTTTATGTATTGACTAGTCTTCAACAGATTGTACAGTTTTAGTAGAAACATAGTCCAGAAAAATTGCAGACTCAGTGAGTCAGACTCTGACCCTCAAATGGAAGAGTTATAGAGTCTGAACGCCACAGGCAGGAATGACCTCCTGTGGCGTTTCGTGGTGCATCTTGGGGGAATGAGTCTTGCACTGAAAGTGCTCCTGTATTTTGCCAGCACGTCATGGTGGAGTGGGTGAGAGACATTTTCCGAGATGCCACGCAGCAAGCACAGCATCCTCCTCTCTGACACCCCGCCGTCAGAGAATCCAGCTCCCCCTCCACAACGTTGCTGGCTCCATCAATCCGTTTGTTGAGTCTGTGGGGGTTACCCTCAGAGTCAGCAGCGTTTTAATGTGATTAAATGGATGCGTTAATACTGAAGGTCACTTTACATAGCAGCCTCTACCATCAGTGTGAGAATGTGCAGGTCTGACCTGAAGTGTAAAGCCCTCTGAGTAGTCAGAAGACGAGAAGTCCATTTACAATTTTTTGTGAAATAAAAACTGTCTATAGAATCCTGAAACAAAATGCTGCACCAGTATAAACCTGTTTCTTCGTTTTCATCTGCAGATGTCATTTTCTAAAGATCAATGTTTGACATTTAAATCTCAGTTATTATTTCGGTAAAAGTTCCCCATGCTCTTGGATTCTCAGAGATGATATCCAGACTTGGATGAATTCAGTTAGTTTGATCATTTATGATAGATTACATGTTCTACCATGTCAGAAACGCTGTGCTGTACAATTTATAAGATATCTTGACTCGCTCTATAAATAAATAAATCTTTTTGAAATGTGGAAACCGCGGGCCAGATTCATTCATTTCCATTTCTGAATGTACAGTACATGACTGAATCACAGACAGAATACTTCACACTCTTTGGTTTAGGTTTCATAGCTCTTCAAAGACTCTTTTTGAGGTCGGCGCCTGCACGCCACAAACACAAACTTCTGCTGCGATAAATACTGTTAATGATGTGAGTTGGCTGACTGAAGTGACATTTCAAGTGTCTCAGTCTGTTACATCAGAGCTGCTGTGTGACTTTTAGTGCAATAAGAGTTCATTATTTTCAAATACAGGAGCAGGATTTGTGTGAAAAGACAGTTTGTCCCCTCGTTCTTACACCCCTGTCTTCACTGTATCCCTCTTCCAGTCGTTTCTTTTTCCCTCCTCTGTTTATTGTTGGATGACTGAGTGTTTCTCTCTCTAAGCGTTACCTCCCATTTCCTCCTCTCTCTCTCTCCTAACACAGGCAGAAGAACTTTGCCCGAGGCATCGAGCAGCAGCTCCCAGATGGCATGGTGGTGGCATCGGTGCCAACAGAGGTTCAGTGCCATGAGGAGCTGTCGGACCCCGTGCCCGACCCAGAATACCTCACAGGTATGAAACCATATTTCATAGTTCAGTCTGCGAGCTCACAGCTGTGTGGTAGCACTTTATCAGCGGCCTGTCAGGAATCCTCATAACTCAAACTCTAACTTCACAGGGTTTGATAACTAATGCTGACGGATTTTATTTGAGTAACCTGATGGTTCTGCATTTACATTCTGTCTTTTTTTTAGTCGTCATTTATAACGTTTGGGCGTTCTGCCATGATGAAAGTAGGATTAGAAAGTCACCTCGTGCCAAAAGCTTCATTTCTGTTGGCCCCAGTGTCGACAACGTAATGGATCCATTCAGTTAACGATACGTGACACTCCACTCACAACCTTATTTTGCTCTTGAATCTGTCTCATGTTTCATGCTCAAGTTGATCCATTTCAAGTCTCACCTCAAAATAATGTCAGCAGGAACATGTGTTCTTAGATAAAGGAGACATGAGCAGACATACATCCATACATTTTGTACTGCATTTCACCTTGATAATGGATACAGTCTGATTGTTTTCTCCAGATCTCAACTTATTTATCTTGTTCTCAAGGGATAACAACGATGGTTCCCCTGTGATTTTGAGATCATTTCCGGAGAAAGGGGCTAGAATGAACTCTAACCACAGGAAAAACCAGCATCGTCAAACAAGATAACAAGATAAATAAGTTGAGATCTCAAGAAAACAAAAAGAAGTTCCATAAAATGTAATGATGCTTCTTTGCTTTTCGGTTTCTGTACGAAAAAGTGGCTTGTTAGCAGCTGGGGCACTTTCATACCTTCACACTCGCTGAACTGGTTTCCTTCTGTGTAGAATAGAATACAAAACCTTTATTGTCATTATACAACCGGACAACAAAATTGGAGGAGTCACATGGAGTATGTGTGAATCGGGGGAAAGAGAAACTGCGTTCACATGAGAGAAGAGATACGATGTATAGAAAACGTATTCACAGATGGTGTATTTTGCACAGTAAACAGGAAGCTTGCCAACATTAAAAAATATAAAAATGTATTTCACAGGCAGAAGAGCAAATGTTGCAAATGCAGGTGAAGACAAATTCATTCTGCAGTAGAAACATCTGTAACGTTCAGGTAAAAGAGAGACAAACATACTGTAGGTGTTGCTCAGGTAGAACGTATAATTGCACAGGAAGACATTTTAATTGCACTTGTAAAATGGGATGTATTGGACTATTGATTTTTGCAACGCCACTGTCTAGACAGAAAATGTGATGAAACACATCCTGTGAGTTAAAATGAAACAACAGGTTTAAAATAATGGATTATTTATTAAAGGCAACAGGGTTAAGTTTTCTTTATTAGTACCTAGAAAAGAGAGGTGATTCAGCGTTCCAATAGAGACATACAACACTTAACATTACATTAGCAATTAAAGGAAACATTAGCAATGAAAACAGAAAAAGAAAAGAGCAGAGTGAGTCTCATGCTCATTTTTTGGTTTTCTTCAGATCTCTCAATGGCAGCCTTGGACTACTGACCCACTTTGCAGCGTGCTCGCTTCATTGTGCCGTGGAGGACTGTGTTGTCAGACAAGAAGCTTTCCTTTGACAATCATCTCAATTAATAAATACAAGTCATTTAGGGGCGATGTGGTTGTCCCCAAGCCATACTCTCTTTTTCATACAATAACTTTGGCTTAATTAAAGTCAGACAAAAACAAAGCCATGTACACATGGGTTGAACCATCACCGGCGGTGTTAATGAGTCAATGGAAGAAGCCATTTTGGGGTTCTCTTTATACAATAACATTGCTGCGTTGTTTGAGCAGCACCGCTCTCCTGTTAGAAGGTTTCACCCTTGACACGGAAACAAGGAGACAAATAAGAAATAAATCTCAGCTTGCAAAATATCAAAATGTTTCCAGAAAGCCAAAGATTTGCATTCATTATCTACCGAGTTTGACCTCACTTTGTTTTGCTAAGTTGGACGCTTCCAGGCTTTAAATGTTTGAAATCACGCAGAGCAATCTTAGGCGTAAGTGTCTGATCGACCTCTCGGATGGAGGATAGCGTGGGTTAGCAGCATCAGTCCATTTTTTTCAGGAGCAGACGATAACATTTCCGTCATTCCTTCTCATTTTTGGTTCTTCAGCATGCAGCGAGAGAGCAGGCGTCTGTAATGGAGAGGTATCATCCCCCCGGCTCCGGTTGCATATGTAATATGTTTTTTTTTACTCCATGTTTGGAGAGAGGCTGAGAGAACTACAATAGCTGGTGTAAAATTAATAATTAGATCTCAACGTTTTATCTGGGAGATGCTTCATCTGGGGCAGCCTGCTGGCAAAGCTGATTCCGGGCACCTGTGTAACTACCTGTGAATAGCCTTACAGTGTGGAAAGCAGCAGATTGCAGGATGGCTTTATCGCTTGTTGTTGATGTAACAGCGGGATGATACGAGGCCGGTCGGGGCAGCGATTCAAAATCACATCAAGCCAGGTTACGTCTGAGGTGATGGAGCACGGAGCAGCAGCGGCTCCAGCTCCAACTGTTGTTTATTAGAAACTTTTAGAGGATATTAAAACCGTCTAATCTAAATGGATCTTCTGCTGTCACGTCCCTGAGCTCCTGTCCCCTCCTCTTTGTGCTACAGCTCAAACCTTTTTATCCCGACATCGCCCCTGGGCTCACAGTGCACGCCGCCCAGAACAGAGAGAAGACACAGCAGCACTCCTCCTCTTGTGGGCCGCGGCTGGGCCTCCGCCGCTGCAGCGACTGCAGGCTTTTATTGAAGTAATATCATGAATTGAGATATCATTTCAAAGCATTCTGCAGGGTGCCATAGAAGCACACGGCGTTCTCTGGGGCACGGTGTTGCCTTTTTTTACTGTCGCAAACCAATCTGAGCCTGATGATAGAAATTTGCAGAGAATGATACAGAGGTCTGCAGGAAGAGGAAAGCTGTAACAATACTTCATAGAGCTGATGTCTTCTTTGTGAAATAAATCCTTTGAGCTTATTGTCTTTACAAAAGAAAGCCAAATACAACACTCGCTATCCAAACCTGAAACATCTATGGCCCCTAACATGTTTTTGCATTTTGTGTAAGATCACTAACCTCACTCATTTGGAAAAAAAAATAAGTAATGACATCTCAGGCCCCGTGTCCACCTAGTGTTTGTTTTTCAGTTGTTTTCAATGATTAGAGAGCGTTCACAGCAGAGAGCAGCCGCCTGGAGAAAAAGCACAGTGCCAAGCGTTTTTTTCTTCCGAGCACTCCGCCTTTTTTGTGCGGCCACTGCGAGTGCTCAAGTTGAAAGTCTGTCAACTTTTTCAGAAAGGCACTTCTTGACGTCACTGGCGCTCTTTTCCAAATGTAAGATATTCCCTGTAGTTTTGCAGCATATGGATTGTGTCTTATTCCCTCATCCTCTTTGCTCGGTGTCTGATCTGGTTAAAAAAAAACGATCTCAAATATAAAACGTGCAGTAAAATGTAACAGAGCCGTATCGGTCATACAGCGGCCGTTGTGAGGAGACAGGACGGACGTGCAGCGCTACTTCCACTTCATGAAAAACACTCCCAAGTGTACAGCCAGCGCTTTTCTGTCCGGAAAAAAACGTTTCTCTAACACTAATATGTGTCTTTAGTGTCGGGGCACTAAAGACACATACAAACCCCCCAATCATGAGAAAAGTCCATCCTCTCCGTCTTCTGCCTGCTCCACCTTTCAGAAAATGTGTGCTCAAACAGGCTGTTTAGAGATTTTCCCTTTGTGACAATACAAAGGGCAGTAACCCCTCCCAAAGAATCAGGTTTTGCCAAGTACATTTACACATACAAGGAATTTGACTTGTTCCTAAACAATTAACAAGGAAATAAAGCAGAACTAGCAACAACTTAAATAATACAGTATAAGAAGCTATTACAATATATAAAATAGAACTTAAAAATGTATATATATAAAATATAAAACATAAAAAAATTTACAAAAGGTCCAATGTAGGAGCTGTGCCGGTGGGGTGACGTCTCTGCCCAGGCCCTTCCAGAGAGGGGGCGTGGTCAGAAACAGCTCATTTACATATTTAAAGGTACAGACACAGAAACAGTCTGTTCTGAGCAGGGCTGAAATAGAGGGGTTTATAGACATGATCAAAGTCAACTTTATTGTCAATTTCAAAATATGCCAGACATACAGTGGAATCGAAATTCCGTTTGTCTCCGTCCCGCGGTGCAATACAACCAAAATAAGGTAAAATAAGATAAGGTAAAAATAGATAAATAAAATGAGGTAAAAATAAGATAAATAATATTTACAGTAATAAATTCTAAATTGTGCAAAGGTATAAATCCTAACTTGTGCAAAAGGTAGTAAGTAAAATACAATAAAATTTAAAGAAAAAGTGAACTTGTGCAATATGTGCAATGTGCAGTAAACTGAGTGTACAGAGTTTTTAGTCCAGAGTTCTTGGTGGAAAACAGGAGGGGGTTTCAACGTCCAGTGTTCGTGGGGGCAGAGGGGAGGGAAGGAAGAGAGGGGAGAGAGTTAAGCTTCCTGACAGCTTGGTGGAAGAAGCTGTTTCCCAGTCTGGTGGAGCCGGCCCGTAGGCTGTGGTACCGTCTCCTCGATGGCAGGAGGCTGAAGAGGCTGTGTGAGGGGTGGGTAGGGTGGGTGGGGTCACGCACAATGCTGGTTGCTTTGCGGGTGAGGCGGGTACCATAGAGGTCCAAAAGAGAGGGGAGTGGGACACCGATAATCCGTTCAGCAGCCTTCACTGTGCGCTGCAGGGTCTTGCGGTTGGCAGCAGTGCAGCTCCCAAGCCACACAGTGATGCAGCTAGTCAGGATGCTCTCGATGGTGCCTCTGTAGAAGGAGCACATGATGGATGGGGGGGCTCATGCTCTCTTCAGCTTGCGGAGGAAGTAGAGGCGCTGCTGGGACTTCTTGGCCAGTGATCCGGTGTTGGTTGTCCAGGAGAGATCCTCACTGATGTGAACCACCAGGAACTTGGTGCTGCTTACTCTCTCCACAGCAGCACCGTCGATGGTCAG